TGTATATTTTTTTGCTACTGTCAGAATTATGATAGAAAATCATCTACTTATTGACTTTTTTTCATAACGCTTTTGATCTAAACGTAATACCACGTCCGTTTATTTGCACAGGTTGTTTCAAAAAGTGAAACACGTAAGGTATAAAATTATTAGAAAAAATATTAGAAGATTCGTAAACTGCTCCTTCTAAATTTAGCTGAATATTATCTTACGTATAAAGCCATATATTCGCTGAGCGTGAGAAGTAGACAAAGGTACCTAATCCTACGGCTTACTAGGTTGGTTTTTAACGCTAGAAAAGTTCAACCCTGGGCAGACCCTAGTCAGTACAATCATGTTTTTCGCGTAACTTCTAAGTTGAAAGTAGTTGTACGTTCAGCGATGAGCAAACGTCACGGTCGAATAATTGCAGCCGAGATACTTGGATATTAAAACAAGAGCTAATTCCAACCCAGGAAATTGAGAAGCCAACAAAGACGGATTTACGAGGGTGAGAAATTAGTGGGCACTGTAGTGTAGGTAGCCCACACTACCTAAATAATTATTCCTGGACCTAGTTATATCCTATATCATACATGTGTCTAAATGTATTTGCTTAACGCAACAAGTGGACGTAAGTTCAGGTAAGGTGTAATAATCAATTTCCGATCGGCTGCACTACAACCTTACTTCAATGAAGAACTGCACGCCACCGACAAAGCAATGATCATTTTTGACAGCGAGATTATTATGATCGGGGAAAGCGTTTTGAAGACGACATGCCTTCATGCTTGTATAATAATACTACGATACTGAAGTATTCGCTTCTGAATATATATGAAATTTTCCAATTTCTGCTCCATTGCCCCTAGATACGTACACAACGCAATCGGTCACCTAACCCATGAGTTTTTGACCGTGTGTTGCGAAAGTAACTAACTTTTTGCAGTTTCTAGATATGGGCTCACTTATAGTTGAGTTACCACCTGAACACAGTATGTCTTATAGGAACGTATTTTAGACAGTAACCGGCACAATCTGTTGAGATCCTCCACTGTCGTCTGCTTCATATTCGACTCGGAAAGATGATAGATTAGCTTCATGCAGCGCTGATAATGTCGATTGGAGCATTCTGAATTTCGTCCTGGCCGTCCACTGACTGAAACGACATGATAAAGATAATATAATTTTATTTGTTTACTGTTTGTTGGCGTTTGGAGCTTCCAAGTATCTACCTTCAATAGATTTTTGCTAAAATAATCAATTTGCAGCGTTCTAATCAAGTTACTTGCCAGTTTTTCGATAGGTTAAAAATGGGTTTTTTTTTTTGTCCTAATAAACACACAAGTTACCAAGTTAGACGAACTAAAGCCTTGGCTAAATCCTAGACCAAGTGCATACACATATTAGGACATTGGCGAAAGCGATACTTTCAAAACATTTTGCCTACTTTGTAGGCACTCTTCCTTAATAACACGTTTTTTTCATTCTTTGTAACTGAAGCAAGCATGACTTAACGACAGTACATTTAGCAGGCTAATTCCTTTAATAAAATTCTATATCTAAGGAAAAGCGATCGATAAATGTTTGTGTTTTCGATAATTAATTCATGTTTTCTTTAATTATACAGCATTGCTTCTAACGCTTTGAAGTTTCGCTGTATATATATCTTTTGAGATAATTCATTTCGGGGCAGATTCTTCATAGAATAGTAAGGCGTACTGACATGACTGTTCTGTGTATACTATAAATGGGTACTGCACTTATCGCTCGATTTACGATAAAGTACTTTTTATGGGTACCATTTGGTAAACTCAAGTGAAGCTTTTACAGTAGATCAACCGAATTATTTAGTCAGTGAACTCTATTTAGAGAAAATTGCTTCTAACTGTTAAGCTTCAATACCCACCTGGGTCTAGAATACGATTTAGGTCTTATGCAGACAAATGAATTTACAATACATAACTGAAGGCGAAAACAAAAAAAATGGTCGAACCAAAGTATAGGAGCCTGTAGAGGAACTTCAGTTTTTTTTACGATCAATGAGCGTCGAAGATATCGGTTGGCCATTGCATATACTTTCGCTACCAAAACTGCGACCATACCGAACCTCTTGTAACGTAAAGGATGCAATTAAGCAAAAACGCTTATTATTTAAAAAGTATGTTAATATATTGCATTAATATAGGGCTGTTAATATCAGCATTGAATCCGAAATGACCAAACGAATCCACCGCTACGCACCAAGTCTTAGGAGATACACCAAAAGGAAATACTACTGTTAAAGGAAATAGGAAATATCTCGAATCCATGGGTTGAGAGAAAGAAATCAACAACTGCGTACTCTGTTTCCCACTACGACATTTGCTCTTACCCATGCGGGACTTGACATATCGGTCGATGCGAACTTTTTTTTAGAAAGATTTTTTTGCTAGTCGCGGATATAACGGGAGGACATTATAGCAGTTAATGCGTAGCCCATTTTGTTGCCCAAAGTGGGTTAATTGCTGAAGTATCGATTCTTAGCTAATCGAGGCACGATTAGCTCTGACAACTCGGACGAAATAGGGCGACATTGAGTTCGATACGATGTTGGCAAAAGTATTGCACATGTAATCATTATAATGTATTGCATTTTTTTGAGAAATTATAATGTCCAACGTATGACATCTACAAATCAAGCCCGGTAGTAACAGTCAGTAATCTTTCAGAAACCAACCCACCCACTACGGTATACAATCCTGATTTGTCAAACCACCTCCATTCTGTCAAGGAGAAACAAATATAATTCACATCGTATATCTAGGGACCTCTACAATTAATTTACTGATCGTACTCTACAATTTTTCACGTAAATCTATTATTTGTGCCCGCTCTTTCAATAGATGCTATGGTCAAGACACTGCCGAGAGTATTTGATTAGATTTCAATATCATTTTCAATACCGCGTCGCATATATCCATCCTCCCGCAGCACTAAAACAGAAGCAGAGGTGATAGATTTCTCATCGATGTAAAAGTAAGTGTCGTATCGTGCCCAGTAAATTTATATTGTACGTATGCAGAACCTAACGCGACATGTTGAATGAGGCAACCAGATCTTAAAGCGCTATGTATAGGTCATTGAAGGTATCCTTTTAAGAGGAAAACTGTAACGTTCGTGCTTTTTAATGATCAAACAACAGAGCACATCGTTACCTGAGTAACGGACTAAGCTGTTTGTGTAGAGTAAAGATCCATGTTGCGTACCGTTATCATTTCTTCGGCATCTGAGGTACACTAGAGGTTCTGTATAATATAGCATCGATGACATAACATTTGTGCTTTATAGGATTTTGTTTTTCTGTTCACGATAGGAAATAAGATTTGTCTAAAACTCTGCGACGTAGATCTATTGAAACACTTGTCGCGCGAGACAATTTCAATACTAATCTAAATTAATTCATCTTTTAGCCTAGGGCGTACAGCATGCCTTTGAAAAATCCAAGCATATACAATCCAGCATTTTCATTTGCTGTTAAATAAGACCTAGTCTTATACTATAGTTACCGGTTACGTGTCTAAAGCTTTACCTTTGCTAAAACCGCAACGGTAAAAAAGTTAAAAATGAATCGTATACAAACAATTGACGACTCTTCAACCAGTCGACTATTTTATACACTCCAGATTTTTTATAAGCTTTTTTTGGTCTAAGAAAAACTTTCGATAGTGTGTATCCGCAAAGACTGACAAGCAAACTAATCTCGATTGGCTTCAGCGAAGCAGCTTGTGACGAGTCAGACTTTTCGATACAAAAAGCGAAAGTGCTAAATAAATATAGTACGCTTACAAATATAGAGCATGGAGTATACGAGGGTCAGTGTTGGATCTGATCCTTTTCAATAGAGATATACCAATGAGCAATCCGATTTCTCTGTTAAAGAGAACGTCTCACAATTTGTAGATGACACGTGCAAACCTATCGCACAGAGATATTGAGACAAATCTGAAGCTCGCTTTACCGGCATATTAACTGAAACTGATTACTAACTCAAGGTAAGCAACTCGATGCTAAGCTAAGATATACCTGAGAGTTAAAGGCTGCTTAGAAATTGGCAAAAACTCTGTCAAAACATATAGAACAGAACACGCAGTTCAAAAAGGCTTTATCCATTATAATGGTAGAATATAATTTTTTGATCAATACAGAAAAAAGATCATCTTGAAACATACCTAACGTACCAGAGAAAGCAGTAATCAAAAGTGAAAGAACAAGGTCAAAGCATAGCACTACATGTTCACCCCGAGCCGCTTTAAACAACAATTAATAATAGTTGATTAAAAAAAGATGATGCAGAAAATAATTTTGCTTTACATTCAACCGAACATAAACACCCTTGGATTTTGTACGTTTAAATAGCCAAAAGGTTGCCCCATTCCGGCACGGGCATCTGCCTCTCTGGATGGCAAGAAATCATTATGTCCACATGTAATATGTGTTTGAATAGAAAATCGTGTACAATGCTTGTATACTGATCTATTTCGATCACCTTACTATGCAGATATAAGCACTATTAATAGATCGATTTGCCTCCCACGGTCCATTTGCAATCAAAAAACTTCACGTACTGATTCCTATGACTTCTTCTGTGTTATACTCACTAAGCCTCAAAGTATTAAGGGCCCCGTTAGCTTATCAGATGATGTCCTTAAAAATCCATAGCTGAACCCTGGTCACTCCTCCGAGTTCGTGCTAATTTCAGTGCACAAGCTGCAACCGGTGACGACCATCGACTCGGCCTCTTTAGCTTAACAACAAGAAAAATAGCGCATGCCGCTGAATTGCGAACTCCGCATTGATTAATAGTAACTAGCTGCTGCCAGTATATGTTTCTCATGGCCTGTACATCCGTTGCCATTCAAACAATACAATTTCTGCACTTTGCGGGTAGAACATTACCACCGAGCTCCTCGTAGCTAGCCGACGATGCTGCAGCATTTTGGGGGGCTGCTTGTCGTTGTTTCTGCATACGATTGTGTCAACAATCCCTACTTTCACCACTTAAGTTCTCAGCTGTTTCATTTGAAGTCCCGTATTGCCCGTTCTCGTCACTCTACTTTGGTGAATGGTCTTCTGGGCTGTGTGATTCTCGTATGACATGATGGAGCCTAGATAATAGGGCAAACGGCGGGGGGTCGGAGGGCGCTTGTCATCCCATTGTAAACGTAACCGTTTACACTGCTTCTCTTCACTGTCTAATTCGGCGTAGCTTGAAATGCTAACAGCTAGCCCAGAAAGTAGAGGGAATGACATCGGCGAGAAGCAGTAGCAAAAGCACTGGACGTTACGGTTTGGAGTGTCCTATACCTTGAGAGCTGTGGTGGTATGCAACTTGAGGAGAAGAGAGAGGAAATATAGCTAGCTTACGCGAGTCTAGAAGGAGGTGTAAACGAGACGCTCGCGTGACCTGTCTACAAACGACAGTTCCACTTGAATGCGCTACGGCACATAGGGGGAGGGGGGTCAACGAACCTCATAGGGTGTCCATTTCGACCCGTGTCCAAGTAAATCACCGTACTACTTCGCTTTCTTTTGAGCCGCGTCGCCAGTCGAACTTGATCGGCGTATTATGCTTTCGGAAACTGGCCATACGCAATACTTAAAACGCAGTGATCACATTAGAAATAGGAACATTTGTCTATATTGTAGCTCGATTACATATGAATATTATGGGAACCAATACTGGGCGATTTCTTGCAAATATGCGCAATTGTGCTTTTGTTTACAACCTGCCATTAGCACGGAGTCTATGTTTGCGGGTCCTCAGTTATTATTATTATTATTATTATTGAAAATGCACCCTTTGCTAACACGATGTTTTAACATTCTGCTGTCATAAAATAGCTAGAGGTATTTTTAGTTACTGAATGCAAAAGGTCCCCTTCGATGCTAGTGCCCTTATCATATGTTGTATCTAGTCCTAAGACTTATATAGAAGAGAGCCACCAAAGGCCCAGTTAAGGACTAATGCAATATCACTTATTTAGTGGAAGGTTTCGTGGCTATATGTGACTAACACAAAATAGTTTTTACAGCGGACTGGAAAGCTTGGCTCATTTCAGTACAGAGCAGATGCAGCCTGAAGATGCGACCTGATATCTTCTCAGAAATTGGGACGTG